TGAAGCACTTAATTCTTTTCCATTTGAAGTACTTGTTGATAGGAATGTAGTTATTACCATTCTTTATTCATGTTTTTGAGATATTTTTTCTTCTTATATAAGTACCTCCTACATTTCCTGTAATACTGGCTTGGTGTTGATGAATTTATTTAGCTTATTTTTGTCTGAGAAGCTCTTATCTGTCCTTCAACTCTAAATAATAGCTTTGCTGGATAAAATATTTGTGGTTGTAGATCCTGGGTTTTCATCATGTTGAAAATTTCATGCCAAACCTTTCTGTTCTGCATAGTTTCTTTTGAGAAATCAGCTGCCAGACTTATGGTTGATCTCTTCTAGGAAACTAACTGGCTTTCTCTTGCTGCTTTGAAGATTCTCTCTTTATATTTAACCTTTAGCATTTTAGTTATAATGTGTCTTGGTGTGGGCCTCTTTGGGTTCCTGGTTTTGGGGACTCTCTTAGCTTGCTGAGGTTGTATGTCTATTTCCTTCACCAGATTAGGGAAGTTTTTCATCATTATTTCTTTAAATAGCTCTTCAATTTCTTGTTTTCCTTCAGGTACCCCTATGACAAGAATATTTTTACATTTAATTGACTCTCATAGGCTCAATTATTCCACATAAAGACCTTAAATTATTATTCTAGTCTTGGCTTCTTTTTTCTTGCCATTCTGATTGGGTGTTCTTGGCTTCTCATTTTCCATACAGATCCTCTTCTTCATTCACTCTGTTGATTCCCTCTAATATACTCTTCATCTCAGATAACGTATTCTTCATTTCTGCCTGGTTCCCTTTTATAATTTCCAGTTCCATTTTTATGTTTTTTTAATCTCTTTGTTAAAGTTCTCACTGAGTTCATCTACACTTCCCCTAAATTCATTGAGCATCTTTATAACCTATTTTTGAACTCTGCATCTGTTAGATTGCTTGACTCCATTATTCCTGGATATCTGTTCTGATCTCTCATATGATTTCTGTTTCTTTGTCTTCCCATTTGGGCTGCCATTCTGTGTCTGTTTCTATGTACCAAGCAAAGCTCCTAAGTCTCCCAGTCTTATTAATGTGGCTTTGTGTAGTCAGTGTCCAGTGGCACAGTCCTGAGAGGGGTTCAGCTGCAGGCCAAGTTTAGTCCCAGCCTGTGTCACTCTGGGGCTACCCGTTGAGATTTAGCAAGCAACACAGATGCTGAGCTTATAGTTGCCTCAAAACCAGCACCAGAAAGCAAGGCCAGTTGCCACCAGTGAGTAGAGGCGCTGCTCAGCAAGGAGTGCTGGACTTGCCGAGGACACACTTGGATGTGGTTTAGGTGGGGCCACGAGTTGTGGAGGCAGATTTTCAGGGAATCCTCTGGGCAGAGTGACCTCTGCTATCCAGTTTGATGACATCTCAGCTATGTTGGCTCTGGCTCTGCACACTGTGGGAGGGAAGGGCTCAACAGAGGAACAATGGATACCACCAGCAGTGGTTGTAGATCCTGGGTTTTCATCATGCCCAGAAGAGAGCATCATCTCCTGTCCTCACTCTGACAACTCAGCATCCCCCTGTAAGTTCCTGGTGCCCCCAGTGCAGCCCACCCAGTGCTGGTGCTCAGAGCAAACAGGCCTATCACCGTGAAAGTCCAGTTACAGACACGGCTCCTTTAAGAGGCATCAGCAGCTACTAGGCTCTGCTGCCATAGCCTCTGTCCCACTCAGCCACTGGGTACCTGGCAGTCTCATGTCCTCGCCCTGTCCTACCTTCTACTGTTGCAAGTTGATTAATTATTTCTCTCCCTAGTTGTAGTGCGTCTGCTCATCCAGATCCTGGGAGACTTTGTTTACTGTTTGCTCTGTGTTTCTGTCACAACTTTGATTTGGTCACAAGAGAAATGAACAAAGCCTCTATTATCTACGCCATTTTTTTCTGGAGTCTGACATACTCTTACAATATGATTCAACAATATGTCTCAGGGATTTATTAAAATGAGTTGAAAACTTTTCCACACCAAAACCTCTACACAAATGTTTATAGCAGCTTTATTATAATTACCCAAACTTGGAAGCAACCAAAATGTCTTTCAACAGGTGAATGGATAAACAAGCTGTGGTAAATCTATACAATGAAGTGAGATTTAGTGATAAAAAGAAATAAGCTATTAAATACATAGAGAAAACTTAAATACACATTGCTAAATCACAGAAGTATCTTAGACTGAAAAAAGTTATTTGATTCCAATTATATGACATTCTGGAAAAGGTAAAACTATGAAGATGGTAAAAAGATCAGTAGTTTCTAGTGTCCAGGGAGAGAAGTAGGAGGAATAGGTGGAGCACAAGAAATTTTCAGGTCAGTGAAATTAGTCTGTATGACACTGCAATGATGGATACATAACATCATGCATGTGTCAAAAGCCACTGAATTGTATAATGCAAAAAGTGAACCCTAATGTGAGCTATAGACATCCATTAATAATAATCTGTCAATATTGGTTCATTAATTGTAACAAATGCACCACACTACAGCAAGATGTTAATTATAGGAGGTACTGTATGTGGAGCAGGGGGATACATGGGAATATGTAGAAACTCACCTACTTTCTGCATATCTTTTCTGCAAACTTAAAGCTTCTCTAAAAAGTAAAGTCTATTTCAAAATGCATTTTTACATGGTAAGATATAGATTTACTTTTTTGTTTCCTTTTTTTATGTTAAATTTATTGGGGTGACATTGGTTAATAAAATTATATAGGTTTCAAGTGTACAATTTAATAATATGTCATATGTATATTGCATTGTGTGTTCACCGCCCAGGGTTAAATTTTTCTTTTTTTAGTCCATACTTGTCTGAGTTTTAGCATAGTTTCTTTTGTGCATATACGTATTTTATAACTAAAAAATGGAACTCTGTAAAAGAAGCATCTGAGTCTATTCTATATATCTTCATTTTTCTGAAGACTTTGCTTTGATATTATAAACCATAAGTAGAGAAAATTGCTACTTACAGTCTTGTAGGATTGTTAAAAGATAAACTGAGGAACACTAAAATATTTGAGAGTTTATTTTAGCAAACATCGATTTAAATCTGGCAGCCTCAAATGAAAGTGGTTAAAAGAGTTCTGCCATCAGGAGCTAGGACAAAAGCTTTTATAGAAAAGACAAGGAAGCAAAGCAAGGAAATTATTAGATTGGCTATAGCATTAGTGAATATCTTACTTTAGTTGGCTCTTTATGATTGATCTTAAATTTTGTGTTTTGAGATACAAGTGCACTTATAGGAAATGACTTCAACTTTGGTTTGGGGTTGTTTATGTAGGCAACCAAAGCATGAGGATCTTCTCAGTCTAATGCCTCCTTGTTTAATTACTTTAATAATTCCCTCCTTTTGGTCATCTTCTCACACATGAGAAACTGACTAAAACTTTGGTTCTACCACTGCTTTCAGTCACCATCAGGGTTAAGTTGTTTTTGTTTTGCTAGGAAACTCATAGGTTATGATGTCAGATTTGTGGAAGGTTTTCACTGTTTATCTCATTATTCATCTTGTTGCTGTTTTTTCAAACACAGTAAGATCATCTAATGTACTGCTGATGGCTGTGAACACAGCTCATCAGGTAGGCTGCAATGATGACTATCAGGAGGATAATACCAAAATAATTAGAGTATGCTTCTTATCTAGGCCCCTATTAAACAAACCATTTAGTATCAAATATATCAAAGAATGTACCTAAAGAAGCATCAATCTGTTTTAGCCAAGTGACACATTTGTTTATTCCTTGTATTTGAGTCTCTATAATACTAGATGTGTTAATCTGGGTAAAGCAGGAGGTGTTTACTATGGCAGAGACACTTCCATCTTCAGCAAACAAGTGATGTAAAGCAATTCTAGTATCTAAAACCACCTTATCGGCTCAAGATAATCCTTATGCCAAAAAGGCATATGTTGGGGTGGCTTATTCTGCTACCCTTCAAGTCATGCTTCTTTGGTTTGTGCTTATTTTGTTTTGTTTCTATTAGATTTTTTATTACCAGCTGTAGAAATTTTTAGGAAAAATAATGAAATTTACCATTTTGAACATTACTCGTTAAGCATGGTACCTAATTATATTTTTTGCATTTCCTTTAATTCTCATAATAACTCAATATGGTTAAAATAAGCATCAGTATTTTCATTAAAGAAATCACGCTAAATTGAGTTACATAAGATACCAGTGAATATATAGCCAGTAAACGATAGAATCAATATGAAGCCCAAGTCAAATTCATTTCAAACACACTTGTATGCTAGTCTACCACATTTGTCATGGATAATTAATCTTTATGGTTTGGGGTAGTTTGTGGTAACTATTTTAGAAATAAATATCAAGTAATAGTCTCACAGAGAAGTGAGCAATAGGTCATGTATCTCAAACATTCTTTCCTCCCACTTAATACCATATTCTCTCCCTGCTGCCTTTACTCAGTTTTTCCACTAAGGGACACATTTCCAAATATAAGATGGTTCCAAAAATAAGTCATATATTATTCTCCTGGTAATGAAACAGGCTACCAAGACTATGTTGATAAAATGAGTAATGCTAATCCTCAGTGTCTAATCTCATTCCTCATGGAGTCTGGAATGGGTGATGTTGATATATAAATTCTGTAATATATATAGATCCTCCTCTATTCTGCTCCTCACTCTAACCCCATTTTTTTCTACACCATTTGTCTCACTACTATGAGGCCAAACACTAGGCTTTAAGATTCACCCCACTGAAGATATAGATATCTCACTGAATTGCAGGCTCAAGAATCAAAACCAGATTCTGAATTGGTTGCTCAGTAAAGATCTCCCAACAAACTTTAATCTAGAGTTTTCCAGATGAGGACTGGACCACAGCAATTGGATTGCTTACAGATCCTCTGAATGAGATCAAGCCCTAATGAACCCGGATATTTTTAATTAATAACAGAGCTTATAAGACATAACCAACATTTAGACATTTCAGGATGAACTGGCTCAGACACAAAAAATTCCACCTAAGACTCATTCAATAGTTTATTATAGTTGGAAATATCACAATCACAGTTTGAAGAAACCTCAAGCAATAAGTACAAAGGAGATGCTCCCATAGAACATTTTTAAAGTTTCCATAGTGAAAAAGGATCTTATGGGGCCTATTTTAGAGGCATTGCATGCCAACAAAAGATAGTGGGAAATGGAGGGAAAACAGATACAGGAAGGAGTAACAGACGAGGAAGCCTAACTAGATGTTAGAGCATGGAGAGATCTAGAAGGCATCATCATTCGTAGACTGACTAAAGGGCTGGAAAGTGCTGAAGAATGGTTGTCTTCACTGAGATAAACAACTAAAATATTGCCAGGTTTGTAAAGATATTAAAGCAGAAATCTCTTCATTGATCTTTCATTCTTCTCTTAGGAAAGTCCATTACCTGTAGCCAAATACACATAGTTACTAAAGAGTTTAAAATGAATATTTTGAGAACTTACCTTCAGATTCCTTCCTCTTCTCCCTTAATCCTTTGACTTCGGAAAAGTCTCTTAACATTCATCTGACCTCTAGTAAATACAACTTTTCCAATATAAAGTGCTATGAGCAGACTATGCTTTACCTTCTCTTAGAACTTCTGACACCACTTTTTAGATTGAAGGAGCAAAAACAGACATTGGTCTCCAAGAAATTTCCATTTCATGCAAAGAATCTACACTAATCCCAAAAGAGCCAAGTTCTGAAAGTGCTTTTGCCCTGATGGCCTGCCCAGAAAATATAAGCCAGGAAGTACCCAAATCTTGAAGCTAACTTTCCTAGATCACTGGACCCAGTATTCTAATGTAAAACAATGGTCTTAGGTACTGGAGATAATTTCCTAGACTGAACATCTAGGTGCACATGTATAGAAAGATATAAGAGACCTTGAAGCTTAGAGTTACCAGACAATGCCAGTGTCTGATTCTGTCCTAGCAAAGGTAAGTCAAGAGCCAAGACTTTTCCTACTTTTTCCCCTTAATGGCATCACATGTCTCTCTCCCCACTCTGTTTCTTTCCCTTCATAACTCCATATATGTCTTCCACATCAAACCCACCTGCAAGTGCCTCACAGAGGTCCTCGGCGTTCAACAGCATTGCCTTTGCGCACTCCCTTGATGATGAAGATGGTCCCAACAATGATGCCTACCAGACCCACAACCAGGCCCAGGGCACACACCACATTCTCTTTTGTCTCTGGAAGTGGAGTTCGCGCTTCAAACTCTGGGGAAATATAAAACAGAGTATAGAAGTAATGAATGTAGTAGGGAGTAGCACTTATGAACAAATGTCAGGTACTAAGTTAAAAGAATAGTTATTAATCAATTAAAGAAGAGGAAGACAAAATGATGTATCAAGGGAATTATAAGTTAGGAAGTGAGCAAGCCTGAATAATGAGAGAAAACAAGAAATACGAATTGTAGCAGTTCTTATGAAATAGGGTATTTGGGGTCCCAAAGTACCCAACACATGCATTACAGGAGGAAACCATAAAATAAAAGAGAATGAAGAATGGTCCATACCCCAGTGCTTGAGAAGAGGCTCATCCAAACCCCAATGCTCCACCTTGCAGTCATAGACATCTTCAGTTGAGGGCAAAAAGGGGAGATAGTGGAACTTGCGGAAAAGGTGGTCTTCCCTGGGCAGGAAGACTGTTTCTGACACTCCAGTGGTGACAGGTTTTCCATTTTGAAGCCACGTGACATTGACCACTGGTGGGGAGAACTTGTCGATGAAACAGATGAGGACGTTGGGCTCTCCCAGTTCCACGGGGTTGTTTGGGAGCACAGTCACCTCTGGAGGTACTGGAGGACATGTGATAAAATTAGCCATCTATGCTTAGACATGGCTCTGCCCTTCCACTAAAGCTGAAAAAGCAGTTGAGATTATGCCCTGAGAAACTATGCCACAGTCTCAGATACCTATCTCTGATACCCTCATCATGAATTGGAACCAATATTAAGGTAAAAATGTCTGAAGATCTCATTCCTGGCTCTCCCAGCATGAATTCAGGGAAATAACTTTGCGAATGACTGTGGATGGCAGAGACAAGATGCGAGAACATCAAGAAATGAAAAATCCATGAAGTCTGAGTCTGTAGCATAAGAATTTGGGGCTTGCTTATGGCAAGGTTAGGCCCCTAGAAGAGAAAGTCAGTCAAAATAACATAACACAAAGAGCTGAAACATCTATTTTAAAGTATAATTCCCACATCTGCAACAGAGAGAGGTACCATTGGTGTTTGGGGTATGGTTGGAGCGCTTTATCATGATGTCCAGGTTGGCTTTGTCCACAGCTATATTGGCCAGTGCACCCTGAGCTTCAAAGCTGGCAAAATCACCAAATTCTTTAAGCCGCCAGACCGTCTCCGTCTTTTTCATATCCACATGGAAAATCTCATCACCATCAAAGTCAAACATAAACTCAGCTGATGCATCAGGGGTCAGATAGTACTCAGCCTGGATGATCACATGATTCTCTGAAAAGGTAGAAAAGGGAGTTAGGGTTGGAACAAGAAGAGGAGGATGAAGAAGAACCCAGGATGTGAGACACAAATTGTGGGCAGGGGATGGTGGAATGAGATAGGGCCAAGTGGAATAGAGTGATGGAGAGTAGGGACAGTGTTGAACAGAGATTGAAGGGGAGAAATTAAGGAGATGTATTAGAGAGAGTGGACTGAAGGAAGCAGGGTCTGAAAACCCAGAGTCTTGTGAAGTGGTTGTTTGTCTCCTTATTACGAGCTAGAAAATGATTCCCACTTTAGAAATCCAGCAGCGGCTCCTAAAAGGTTGGTTTCTGAACTCTGAAATTAAATTTTAATTTCCTATTTAGCTACTTACTAGTCTAGTGATCTTGAGTAGATTTTCTTTACCTACTTATATGTAGTTTTCCTATTATTTTCTTATGTGATTTTGCTTCTATCATGAAATCAGACAAGTAAGCAATTTCTTAGTATTTCATCAGGCCTATAACAAGCACTTTAGAGTCAGAAACTACTTTACATTTAAGGACCAGACACATGGAAAACATAACTGGGGTCTGAAGTACCTAGGAAATTAAGATTGAGACCTTAATTCGTAGTGTTGTAGAATACCCACTATCTGGATTTATACCCCTCTGAGGGAAGAATTATATTTGAATTGACCTTGGAAACATGCCCTTATATCTTAAACTTCTTAAATTGAGACTGTCATTATGGAACCTATTTTATTATGGTTGATACTGAGAAAAATCTATACCAAGGAAATAACTTGAAATAAGAAAGCTACAATTGAAGAACATACAGCCTCTGTGGTGTATGTAGATGAGAGGGAGATTTTAAAGTCTGACTGTATATTGATAAAGCCACGTATTAGTTTAGCATTTGTTACTATTTATGCACACGCATGCATGTGTGCATGCACACACACACACACACACACAAATATCTTAGTTGTTACTTTCCAACCTAAGGGAAGAGACTGTCTTTCCAGGTATGCATCCCCGCATATGTGTGGCTCTTTATGAGCAATAGAAACCTACAATTCCCATCATGAATCTAGGAGCTGGGTTATTGCTTTACTTATTTCCAGTCTCCCTGCCACCCTCTTTTGGGGTCACCTGGGTGAAGAATATGTTTTCACAATACATCTTCACAGCAGCACAATGTTTGCTCAGGAGATGGCAAAGAACATCAGACTCTTTAATTCATTACTCATTTTTCTACTCTCTCGTGAAAATCACTAAATAACCGTGACTAAAGATCATTGTAAGATCCACTGTAGAAGGGCTATCACTGTTTCCAAAGGCAGTAAATTAAATTCAATTCATATCAGCATATCTGCCCTTCCCCTCCTCATGGGTAGTTTGGTAATTTTTGGTGACATTCCTTTCTAGTGATCAATTTTATGTCAGTGCTCAAAATATGCTGACAGGATTTACATGCCAAAAAAAAAAAAAAAAAAAACCTCCTATGTATTCAGCTAACTTCTCGTAATCCTCACAACATTATGTGGGGTTTTTAATTTTACTAATTTTCTAGAAAGATAACTTAAAGCCCACAGAGGTAGCTTGTTAATGCCTGTCAGAAAATATTCCCCCTCAAGTTCAGCTTACCACAAAGTCAATGGCATTGATCCACATACAACCCAGTTTTATTCCTCTAAACTAAAATGCACTTACTTCAAACTGTAATGAGAAGAGAACTCTTCCATCCACAATTTATACTTTTAGATTTAGACCTACAAAATAACTATCACGCATTTCTCTCAGTCCAAAGATTGTCTTGCAAATGTCCAAAGTTTATTTCTCCAATGCTCTCAGAGCTTTACTGTCCCTAGTTTTGATTCTCTCAGTACTTACCTTTGACAGCCCATGATTCCTGAAGTTTCATCAGGAGAACTGTGATGAAAAATCCAAACATCGGGATTCCAATTACGGCCATTTTCTTCTTGGGTGGTTTGATGGGAATCAGTAGAGCCTAAGTGTGGAGCAGAACAGACAAAATAAGTGAAAAGAGAATTGAGAGTATGATAGTGTCTTGACTGATTAAAATTCAAATCAGTTGAGCTGCATCCAATTAGCAAAATGTTTTGAGATGACACATCTGTTGCTAAGGAGAGGACTCTTATAAAGTGTCTAGGAAAGGAAATACTTTCTTTACTATATAAAAAAAGTAAATTCTTAATCAAGCAAAAAAACACAAACAAACAAAAAAAATTGTTTTGAGAATTTTGGTCAATCACTCACATTCTTCCATCCCAATCCAAGTTCTAGAATGGGATATACCCAAAGCACGTTAGTGAGACTATAATCAATGGAACAACCGTAAGTGAGAGTTAATGACAGACCATGCCTCTGTGCTGTGACAACTGGGGAGTTTATTCAAGGGACAACAAATCATCTAAAGAGAAGTTAAATTGTCAGGCTATGGAGAATGCCTGAATCTTGGCAGTGCTGTGTGATAAAGCTTCACTTAAGAAGTTTCTTAATGCTTCAGGCTTCTGCTCCACTGTCCTAGATTCAAAGTGGCCAACTCTACCAGAGCTTAGGATCCCTGGCACCATATGATATTTAGGAAAAATCAGAGGAGAAACTCTGAGTTTCAATACTCCCCCAAATGGAGAGTGATAGAAAGCTACCCCTTGGAAATGGGTGGTGGTTACTGGAAACAGTGGACTGTTAAGGGGGGAACCTTTTACAAATGCCTACCATAAATATGACTAGAGATTAAAGTAGACTTGGTGACACACCTCACTCATCTCAGGTCAATAAGTAGGGTGGGATAAATTGGACAGAGCTTATTTTCTGGGAACCCTGGAGATAATAACCTGCAGGAGTGCTTTGCCATCACTCTCTCGTGTTATATGATTATTGAAGTATTGATCCAAAGAATTAATTTTGATGTTTACTATTGAGAATACTGAAAATTAAGATTTACCTTCATGTTTTTGAAAATATAGTGCAACAGAAAGGAAAATTAAACCATATATAGAAAGGGTTAGGATCCAAATACTTCTAATGAAGAGAGCCCTGGCAGTGAGACAGACAGTGGTGAGCTCACTGTTTAATATCAGTCATAACGCATATACTCAGAGTGGACTTTCTATACTCTTGCACTGAGGTCTTATCCTGCCCTGCAGCTGCCCTCACAAATCATGAGGGCAACACCCTATTCATTACTGATTATCCGATCATGTCTAAGGGCTTTGAACATCCTCTGACACTGACTTCTAGATCACCTGGAGAAGCCCCATAGTGTGGTTTGTGCTAAAATGAAGGAATGCATTTCTTGGAGGTAGAAGAATGGACCAGATGAGAATTCTACAGTATCAGTCTCTGCTGAGAGTCTGATCCTGTGACTTAGGCTTGTCGTCTCTTTCAGAGGAAAACCCGAGTATAATTTTTCTGTGCCTGCCCTTTGCTGCCATAATGCCTCATTCTTACCAGGAGCTCAGTAAATATATGGCAAACTCAGAAATATTTTACAGAAAAATATTTTACATGTTGTAATAGCACTTTTAACCTAAGATGTTGCTTAGCAACTTATGATATTGTTTGGTCTTAAAACAGTGATTGGTTCTCCTCATGAGATTACTAAATTTGGGAGACTTCAGAAAAGACTTTCAGTTCTTTTTCTCTGTGATAGAAGAGAAGTTCTTATCTGGATACTATTCAGTCATGGTTCCTTGTTCTCTCCTAAACTTTAGTTTCCTATCTGTTCAAGGGAATTTCTGAGGACAC